GTGGTATACATACACCATGGAATACTACTCGGGCACAAAAAAGAATGAAATTCTGCCATTGGAAGCAACATGGATGAGCTTGGGCAAAATTATGTTGAGTAAAATAAGTTAGGCACAGGGGAAAATACCATGTCTTCCCTCATAAATGGGAGCTAGGAGAGAAAGAAGGAAGGAAAAAAAGACCATAATAGTGCATTGGTTTTGTGTAGGGAGAGAATATATTGAGGACTGTAGAGTGGGGTAGGGAATGTGGGTGGGGTTGGGGAGGGTGGTTGGGGATTAGTTGGATGGGAACATGGGGAATAATAGTGATTTTTTGTAATGGGCATGCTGATAGCATTGATCTGGCCATCACATATTGGACACAAGTGGTGATAGTAAGCATTGTACCCCATGTATATGCTAAATCATTAAACAAAACAAAAGAAACTTCACACTGCATGCATTAAATATGTGCAATTATTATGTGTCAATTAAAATTTTTACAAATGGTTAAAATGGCAAATTGTATGTTATGTTTATGTTACTGCAATAAGTAATTGGGGAAAAGAGAATTAATAGAAAACTAGACAGCAACCTCTTCAGTCATATTGTGCAGTTCAACTTATGCCTCTGACACTTAAAAGCCATGGGACCTTGAACAGATTTGTAACAAAACAGAATCTCAGTCATTTGGTGGCATAAATGGCTATAAGAATAGATTTGTAGACTGATAATGACCTCATTTCCCACCAGAGATATCCACGTCCTAATCCTTGGAATAGTGAACATATAAATAAGTTACCTCACATGGTAAAAGAGATATTGAAAATGTGATTGTGCTAAAGATCATGACATGAGTAGAATATAGCGGATTTTCCAGGTGGGCTCAGTGTAATCACAATGATCCTTGTAAGAGGGAAAGAAGTGGATAAGACTCAGTAGAAGAAGATGTGATACCCCAAGCAAGAGATTGGAATGATGCAAAGAAGCCATGAGCCAAGGAAAGTTGAGAGACTCTTGAAGTGGAAAAAGTCAGGGAAAGGATTCCCATCTAGAGCCTCCAGAAGGAACTAGACCTACCAACACTGTGATCTCAGTCCAATGGAACCGACACTGGAACTTTGAGTGAAAACAGTGTAAAATAATCATATGTATTATTTTAAACCAATAAGTGTGTGGTAATTTATTAAAATAGCACTGGAAACTAATACAAAAGGACTTTGTATTAGTATCCTATCTAACTCATAGGTTTATGAGAAATGCTAAGTAATATAAAACATGCAAAATCTCAAAAACAGTATAAAATTAAGAAGTTGATTGATTGGGGAATGTGCCATTGGACAGAAAATTACAAGTTTCAGTAAGATGTTCAGGATAGTCCTCATGGAGAGGCTGACTTTATGTAAGTGTACAGAACAGCCTGTTTACCAACATCTTTGCCAACACTTTCATTGATACATTTTCATTTTCCAATAAGAAGGCTTAAAAGGTACAGTTTTAAATTCCACTTCTTATTTTTAAGGTATTTTCATGTTTAATAATATTTACATCCTCTTCTGTTTTGTCTGTTGGATCATTTGCACATATCCATGTTATCTTGGGGTTTTCCTGGCATATTATTTAGTAGAAAAACAGCAAGTTGTAGAAAATACATGTAGTATAAGCCCAATCTTATAAAGAACTACATTTAATCCCATTTCTATGTCTATGTATATAATAAACATATTTTGTGAATGTATACTGTATTAGTCAGCATTCTCCNCCATTGGAAGCAACATGGATGAGCTTGGGCAAAATTATGTTGAGTAAAATAAGTTAGGCACAGGGGAAAATACCATGTCTTCCCTCATAAATGGGAGCTAGGAGAGAAAGAAGGAAGGAAAAAAAGACCATAATAGTGCATTGGTTTTGCGTAGGGAGAGAATATATTGAGGACTGTAGAGTGGGGTAGGGAATGTGGGTGGGGTTGGGGAGGGTGGTTGGGGATTAGTTGGATGGGAACATGGGGAATAATAGTGATTTTTTGTAATGGGCATGCTGATAGCAGTGATCTGGCCATCACATATTGGACACAAGTGGTGATAGTCAGCTTTGTACCCCATGAATATGCAAAATCATTAAACAAAACAAAAGAAATTTCACACTGCATGCATCCAATATGTGCAATTATTATGTGTCAATTAAAATTTTTACAAATGGTTAAAATGGCAAATTGTATGTTATGTTTATGTTACTGCAATAAGTAATTGAGGAAAAGAGAATTAATAGAAAACTACACAGCAACCTCTTCAGCCAGATTGTGCAGTTCAACTCCTGCCTCTGACACTTACAAGCCATGTGACCTTGAACAGATTTGTAACAAAACATAACCTCAGTCATTTGGTGGCATAAATGGCTGTAATAATACATTGGTAGACTGAATAATGACCTCACCCTCCACTAGAGATGTCCACGTCCTAATCCTTGGAATAGTGAACCTATAAATATGTTACTTTACATGGAAAAAGAGATATTGAAAATGTGATTGTGCTAAGGATCATGACATGAGTAGAATATAGCAGATTTTCCAGGTGGGCTCAGTGTAATCACAATGATCCTTGTAAGAGGGAAAGAAGAGGATAAGACTCAGTAGAAGAAGATGTGATACCCCAAGCAAGAGATTGGAATGATGCAAAGAAGCCATGAGCCAAGGAAAGTTGAGAGACTCTTGAAGTGGAAAAAGTCAGGGAAAGGATTCCCATCTAGAGCCTCCAGAAGGAACTAGACCTACCAACACTGTGATCTCAGTCCAATGGAACCGACACTGGAACTTTGAGTGAAAACAGTGTAAAATAATCATATGTATTATTTTAAACCAATAAGTGTGTGGTAATTTATTAAAATAGCACTGGAAACTAATACAAAAGGACTTTGTATTAGTATCCTATCTAACTCATAGGTTTATGAGAAATGCTAAGTAATATAAAACATGCAAAATCTCAAAAACAGTATAAAATTAAGAAGTTGATTGATTGGGGAATGTGCCATTGGACAGAAAATTACAAGTTTCAGTAAGATGTTCAGGATAGTCCTCATGGAGAGGCTGACTTTATGTAAGTGTACAGAACAGCCTGTTTGCCCACATCTTTGCAAACACTGTCATTGATACATTTTCATTTTCCAATCAAGAAGGCTTAAAAGGTACAGTTTTAAATTCCACTTCTTATTTTTAAGGTATTTTCATGTTTAATAATATTTACATCCTCTTCTGTTTTGTCTGTTGGATCATTTGCACATATCCATGTTATCTTGGAGTTTTCCTGGCATATTGTTTAGTAGAAAAACAGCAAGTTATAGAAAATACATGTAGTATAAGCCCAATCTTATAAAGAACTACATTTAATCCCATTTGTATGTCTATGTATATAATAAACATATTTTGTGAATGTATACTGTATTAGTCAGCATTCTCCAGAGAGACAGAATCCATAGGATATGTTATAAATATATGAGGGGGCTTACCAGGGGAGTTAGCTCACATGATTATGAGAAAAGTCCCACGACAGGCCCTCTACAAACTAGATGCCAGTAGCATGGCTCAGTCCAACTCTGAAGGCCCCAACACCAGGGAAGCCGATGGCGTCCTTCGGTGTTAGTCCTGGGACCTGAAAGCTGAAGATTCTCAAGCTCTGATGTCCACAGAAAGGAGAGAAGAGCGTCTCCCAGCTCCAACAGATAGAGGGAGAGATTCACCTTTTTTTCTCTGTCTTTCATTCTCTCTGGGACCCCCAGCTGATTAGATGGTTCCCGCCCACATTGAGGGCGGGTCTTTCCCACCCAGTCCCCTCAGGCTGTCATATGAATCTCACTGGAAACACCCTCATGGACACACCTTGAAAAATAGCTTAACCGGGTTTCTTGGCATTCCTAAATTTAATCCAGTTGACACCTAGAATTGATCTTCACATATACTTATGCACTCATATAGGTACAGATACATAAATATATCTATACACTTACATATTATCTTAAAGTGCATGACGAAGTGACTTCCTCTGGGAGATAAGCTCAAGCTAATGAGTGATGTCATTTCTCAAATCACACATTTCATGACTGAAGGAAGGAAAAAATATGACTAGAATTTGATGTGTATTAGATGTTCAGCCATGTATATTTGCGAGATGAAATGAAACTAATTATTTCAGGGCCATAGCATCAAATTACCATCCCATTAATGACAAGTATAAAATAATGTGTTTGAAAGTGGAAAAATAACAAACTGATAAGGCTTTCAGGAGATTTTATTCTTGTTTAGAAGAGAGGAAAAACACACAGAACACATGACTAGCGATGTGAAAGCATATACTCACACTTGACTCTAAGTTGTAAAGAAGTACAAAGAACATTTGAAATTATTATTTGGTGTTCTTAGTAACACCAAAGCAGGGGCATGAATTCAAACACTTAATGTTCATTTCTCCCTATGAGTAACTCTCCCAATGTTTCCCTACAGGTTAGGGCTGCTACTGGACATAGATTCTCTCTTTTAAATCCAAACCTCGAGTACCTCTAAGAGATACTCAGCCAAGAGAGCTTCTCTACATTTGTCCCCTTTGTCTCTCTCTGTGCTTGTCATTATGAGGACCAGCATGGCTTCTTGAGACTCTACTTTCTTACCTTTCTCACCAACATTACACACAAAAGAGGGAAAGGCTGAGAGCTAACACAGCAATTAATAATACTTCTTATTTAGAATACACAGAAGAGAAATGGCTTTGAAGTATGACATACAAATCATTTTACTTTGTTTTATGTGACACCATATTAATAACTTCACAGTAGGTATCAGCTTATTTGCTGAGAAATACAAGTATTAGCAAGTACAGGAATTAGCAGGCATATGTGTGCAGTGAAACTCAGGAAATCTTCTCATTTGAGTTTGGATGTTCACTAGATCTTGAAGGAATGGTGAGATGTGCAAAGTCAGAAAGGCATCCTTGTGATTGGGAAAGAGGTGGATGATGCCTTAGAAGAGAGGGAGCTGCAGAGAACAGCACAGCAACAGCAGACAGTCTGCCCTTCTTCACACAGGAATGAAGCAGATCCGGTACGAGGGTGGCAAAGAAAGTGATCTACTGTTAGGTGGGGTGGTATCGAGGTCCTTTGGATCAACCAAAGATTTCAGGTTAAAGTTCTGTAAAATGGTGATCAGGAATAAAAACAGCTCCATTCGGGCCAGACCCTCTCCCACACAAATTCGTTTGCCTGAAAATAACAAGTACAGAGGGTAGTTACTTTCTGTGTGTAACTGTGATTGTAACAAATACTGTGTTTGTGGCAGTCAGAAAAGGAATATGTAGTAACTGTTTGATGAGTGATTGGGTAGATGGATGGGTGGATGGATGGATGGATAGATAGAAGGCAGAATGGCTGGAAGAATGGCTGAAGAGATAAATGGACAAAGGACATACAAACTTTCTATCCACTTAACATCTGTTTTTAACAGGCACCACTCAACAAATATTTATTATCAACTCAATCCCAAGCACTTTATTATGTATTCCCACTTTATAACTGATTTTTTGATATTTCTAATTTCCATCTATATTTTTCTAGAAACACACCCACAGTGTGTATCCTGTTCCCAGTCTGAAGTTCCCTGATCCTTCCTTCCACTCTTCACACCCTCTATTCTTAGCTGTAGCCATGCACACTATTAATCAATCTCTAACATGCCATGCAGTTTCACGTTTTATCTCATGCTGGTCCTTCTTGCCAAGACTTACTTTTTTATACTACATTCAGCTTCTCGGTGAAATTTCATTTCCTCTTTACACTCTTCAAGATCCCCTCAAGCTATAAATTATTGCCCTTTCATGGTTATCTCAACATAAATTCATGCTCCTGTTGAAAAATAAATAACTGGGAGTCATAATTCTCTATTTATTTATATCTCTATTGTGCTAAAGTGTAAATTCTAGAAGGAAGTGAAGGTCTCTGTCCTCATCATCAGGTATCAACAGTACTAGATATAAAGCAGACATCGAAGGTCACAGAATAAAGGAAGCAGATTTCATGGACAGAGACTTAACACACATATCACATGGGTGGAGATCGAATACCCAAGATATATGATCAAGACTGGAGGAAGAGCAGGGTGCTCTGGAAACTTTGCAGGTTATCCTGTGATGTTCCCCGTGTTCCTCTGACCCCCTGGGTTATTTGGAAGAGCTTCTGAGGTTTTTGATTTAAGGCAAATATTCTACTCCTGTCATTCATTATCTCCCTCAAAATATCCTGCCTTTTCTACTTCCCATTCTCTCTGCCCCCTTTGAGGCAACTCAAATGTCATTTCTGCTGTTAGAATGTTGCTACTCCATGTTATGCCTCCCTGTGGGGTATGAACGAGTAAACAGCAGGTACCTTCTACCCTACCACTATCTGACCAGCAGCTGGTGCTTTCCTCTCTCATAGCTTTAGTTCAAATGGATTAAATGATCTCTTTATTCATCTGCTTCCCTAATTTGTGTGAAGCCCTTTGGTACCTATTCTATGCCTGTGGATACTTGTATCCTCAAAGCTCAGCCTGGGATGGGGGTGGGGGGATAGTGAGCAACATCCCACAGACAACACTCCAAGATGTGGAGTCAGGAACCTTTCTTGTGGCAGGTGAGGAAAGTGTAAATGATTTTCACCATCTAAGAGGAGCTCTTGGGTAGCTCAATGAAGCATCTACATTCAGAATTCAATCAGCCTATACTCTAACTTTCTCAGTTTGAAAGGATTCGGTCAACTCCCCATTAATATTGCCCAGGAATGAGGATGTATCAAGAGCAGGGAAAGAATGTGGGTGTTGGGAATGGTGCTTCTGATCAAGTACAAAGAACAATTCTACCAGCACAGAGGAGGCACCATGTGAGTTCAAAGTGATCTCAAAAAGTTATCTTGTCTCTTGGGCTGGCCCGGTGGCGCACTGCTACAGTGCACTGCTTGGGAGCGCGGTGGCGCTCCCGCCGAGGGTTCGGACCCCACATACAGACCAGTTCCCACTCACTGGCTGAGCGAGGTGCGGACGCAACACCGAGAGTTGCAATCCCGTTGCCGGTCCCGGTCCTGTACGGGCGCAACACTGAGGGTTGCGATCCATTGCCGGACACGAAAAAAGACAAAAAGGAAAAAAAAAAAAAGTTATCTTGTCTCCTGATGCACAAATGATAATGAATTTCTATTACCTGTGGAGAAAGGCATGAAGTAGTCACTTTTCTTAAAATTGCCACTCTCATCCAGAAAGTGTCCAGGGTCAAACATCTCTGGGTTGGGGAATTCTTTGTCATCATGTAGCACCGAGGTCAGTGATGGAAATATGGTTGTGCCCTGGAATGAACAGACATAATTAAACTGAGTTATTTTTAAAAAGTCATGGATGTGAAAGGAATGATCAAAATCACTTTGTCCATTCTCTTTGGTCTACAGATGAGAAAACCCATGTCCAAAGAAGAGCAATAACATTTCCAGACAGACAGACCACATCATAAACACGGATGAGTTTAAGGCCAGTGGCAGTGATCTTGCTCATGTGGCCTCCAATAGCATTTGAAGTACTGAGTACATGGGAACTTGGTGTCAAGCCTTCTAAATCTGTTCTCCTTATCATCAAGCTGTGATGTTGTTGTCTGTCCTTATTGCTGCTCTATTTCATCATTTCAGTTTTCACATACATCATATGTAGATTACGGTTTAAAATGGAAGTCTCTGTTGACACTTGAAATATATCTGTTTATAGAGATTTGGTAAATAAACTTCTGATCTAGTTACAAATGACTTGATCTGGAATGATAATACCATGTACATAAACAAGTCTGAAAGTATTGAGTGTTTATCATTGTCATGCAGTTTGCTTGTCTTATTTTCAAAACAGTCTTCATTACTGACTAATCCTAACTAAGAAACATAGAAGGGATGATAATGTTAGAAAAATCATCAATTTGGGATAATTTAGTTTAGAATCACCAGTTCAGGAAAGGATCATCAATTAAAACCTGAACAGTTGGGTGGGTGGAGTTGCGGAGTCAGGAACCTTTCTCATGGCAGGTGAGGAAAGTCTAAATGAGTTTCACCTTCTAAGGGGAGCTCTTGGATAGCTCTCGATATTCTCACCAGGATTTGTTATTCTCTGCCATTTTGATGATAGCCAGTATAACAGGGACGAGGCGATACCTCAATGTGGTCTATCCAACAAGAAGACACTGTGGTCTGAATAGATAGTTGAAATGATTTTGAATTTTTTTAAAGTTATAGACACCAATTTTGTGACCTAACGTGGTCTATCTTGGAGAATGTTTCACGTGCTGATGAGAAGAATGTCTATTCTGTAGTTGTCGGATAAAATGTTCTGTAGATATCAGCCAGGTCCAAAAGGTGTGAAGTGTTGTTTAAATCCTGTGTTTCTCTGTTGATTTGTCACCTGGATAATCTGTGCATGATGAAAGGGGTATGTACAGGTACCCCACTATTACTACATTGGCGTATCCCTTAACATTGGGGTATACCTCTTTCTGTAGATCTCATACTTTATTCTTTATATATCTGGATGCTCCAGGGTTGGGTGAATGTATATTTATGATTGTTATGTCTTCTTATTGGATAGGTACTTTTATCATTACATAATGTCCTTCTTTGTCTTCTTATGGTTTTTGGTTTAAAGTCTATTCTATCTGACATAAGAATAGCTACTTCTGCTCATTTTTGGTTTCCATATGTGTGGTATATCTTTTTTCATCCCTTCAGTATTAGTCTGTGAGCATCTTTACTCGTGAGATGAGTCACCTGAAGACAGCATTTAGTTGGGCTTTGTCTTTGGAGTGGGGAGTTTAAACCTTTTTCATTTTGGGTTGTTATTGGAGGTACTGTCTTGTTCCTAGCATTTTATGGCATTTTGTGTAGATGTTTTATAATTTGTTCCTTTCTTCTCCTTTGATTATTGGTCCAATGTTGAGGTGCTAAGATTTAGTTTCTTTCATCATTCACATTTGAATTTCTGTTTTATTAGTGTGTTATCTTCTTACTTGTGTAATTGTGGTAGTGATTACTGTTTTTTGGATTCCAGATGCAGGACTCCCTTGAGAATTTCTTGCAGGATTGGTCAGGGGTGATGAACTCTCACAGGTTTTGATTGTCTGGAAAACACACCATCTCTCCTGGACTTTTGAAGGATAGCCTTGCTGGGTATAGTATTCTTGGCTGACAGGTTTTTTTTTCTTTCAGTATTTTGAATATGTCATTCCATTTTCTTCTGACCTATAGAGTTCCAGTTGAGAAGTCTGCTACTTGTCTGATGGGGAATCCCTCGTTAGTAACTTGATGCTTTTCTCTTGCTGCTTTTAGGATTCTGTCTTGGTCTGAGATGTACCAGTTCAACTATAGTGTGTCTCTAAGAGGATCTTTTTGGATTGAAACTGTTTGGAGAACTTTGAGCTTTCTAGATTTGAATGTCTGGTCTCTCCCTATATCTGGGATGTTTCCCATGATTATTTCATTGAATAGATCTTCAATGCTTCTTTCTTTCTCCTCCCCATCAGGAACACCCAAGATTCAGGTGTCTGTGCACTTAAGACTGCCTACTATTTCTCTTAAAGTTTCTTCATTTTAAAGTCTTTTTTCCTTCCTTCTTTTTTTTTTTTTTTTTTTTTTTTTTTTTTTTTTTTTTTTTTTTTTTTTTTTTTTAAAATGCCTTTATTTGGTAAAGACCATCTTTGAGTTCGGAAATTCTTTCTTATGCTTGTTTTAATCTGCTCCTGTAGTTCTTGGTTGCATTTTTTATTTCATTGAATGTGACTTTCAGTTGCAGAAGTTCTGCTAAGCTCTTTTTAAGGTTTTAATCTCTTTGTAATTTTCATCCCTCGTATCCTGGGTATTTTTGTTCATTTCGTTGTGTTGTCTTACAGAGTCCTCTCCTATCTCATTGACTTTTCTTAATATAGTTTCTCAGAATTCCTTTTCAGTCATTTCAAGGGTTCCCTCTAGTGTACAGTCTGGTACATTAGAGTTACTGAATTTCTTTGGCCATGCCATATTTTCTGATTTTTTCATATTTCTAATATCTCTACATTTATTTCTGGTCATCTGGCAGATCCATTGCTTCTTCTATTACTCAGGAGTGGACTACGAGTGGAAGACTTCTTCTTTTCCCATGTTCCTTCAGTGGCTGTCCTTTTCAACAAAGTCAAATATGTGGTGGGCCACTTGCATGGCGGTCATGGATGTTACTAAGGCTATGAGCCATCCTTGCAACCATAGTAGCTATGATGGTAGCTGTTCTTGATCACCTCCATGGAAGCTGTGTGAAGTCTCATGGTAATGGTGTGGTGCAAGATCCTGGGTTCTACATGGGTGAGGCAGTGTTGTGGGTGGGTAGCTGGCCTGTTCTCCTGCCTTGCTGGGTGCCTCCCCCATAAGTGTCAGTGCAGCACATGCTGAGAAACATTTTAAATGACAAGTGACCTGGACTCTTCAGGAAGGTCAACTTACTGATATAAAACAAGCAAACAAGGGAAATGTATGTGTTCTTGATTTGAGAGGAAAATAGGAACAAGGTAACCAAATTCAATGTTTATTCTTTGACTGGGTACTATTTTTTTTAAAAAAAGTTATAAAGAATGTTCTAGAAAAAAGTTACAGACTATATATTAGAAAATACTACTGTATGAATGACACTTCCTGAGTGTTCATGTTAGTATTACTATGTAGGAGAAAAAAATCCTTAATCCTGGAACATACATGATGGGTATTGAGGTAGATAGATAGACAGATATTAAGTAAATATATACACACTTTTATGTATACACCTATATGTGTATATCCATATGTTTTTTATTTTATTTAGATTTAAGTGTTTATAAAATACAAATGTGGGGGAAAATTTCATCCTCTACTTTTCTCATATTAAATGCATCGAACTTTTCTTTAAAAATTATTCCTTTCATTTTTTTAAAACAAGTAATAATGATTTTATATCAGGAAAATGTCAAGTAGATGTTTAAAACTCCTGTTAAAAATTTTCCAATTTTTGAGAAAACTCACTATTTTCATTAGTTAGGACACAATGTGAAAATCAACTTCACGTCATTGTAGAAAGTTCTACTGGACAGGAATGCCTTATACGAGGCATCCACAAACCACATAGGCAAATCCAGCCTGCCATCTGTTTCTGTATAGGGTCATAGGCTAAGAATGTTCACGTTGAGAAATTGCAAAAGAAGAATAATATTTTTGACACATGAAAATTATATGAAATTCAAATTTCAATTTCCATCAAAATTGAAACATAGCCATCCTCATTTGTTTACACACTCTCTGCGACTGCTTCCATGCCACAATGACAGAGTTCAGTAGGGCAACAGAAACCCCATGGCCTGCAAAATCCAAAATATTTACAATCTGGCCCATAACTAAAAAAGTTTTCTCAGTCTTGTCTTAGACCATTATTTCTACCTAGATCACTGGCTCCAGCCATTGGTAGAAGAAATCATTTATCTAATTCCTAAGATGGTAGAATAATCTATGTAGAGTTGCATATTTCTATACTGGGCTGTCCAGTGCAGAATGCACAGGACATTCCCTTGGGGTTCTAGGGTTCTGGCTCAAAAGACATCAGACACTGTGGGAGCCTCTATGTAGAGGGTTAATGGGTGAGCTCAGCAGGTATAATGTTCCCCAAATCTGATGAGGTGGATGCAGTGACTAGCAGTCTTGGCCGGATTCCTCAGCCTGATTCCCATTTAGTTAGTAATAGGAGGAGTAAAAATCTTCATCAGTATTACCCTCAGACCCCAATACTATGGAAGGAAATTCTTCTCCTGGTTTTGTCTTTTGGTGAAAACAGAGGGATCTGAAGTTCTAACCCTTGCACCAAATATGTGATTATCATGACAAGTCCCATTACCTCTTGGACAACTTATCATTCCGTCTTCTGCACAGGATGACATTAGTAATTGCAACCTTACTAGATTCACTGCCTGTTTTTCCCCATGAAAATACAATGTTTAGTTTTATTACATTTCATTTTAATAATTATATATCCTGGCTTCAAGCGGAATAGGGAAACTTGTAGCATAACAACTAGAACATCTGGATAAACACAGAAGCCATGTGATGGAAGGTAGTGTAACGTTGCTAATACAAAAATTTGTCTCAAGATTCCAAAGACGGCAGACCCTCCAATAGGTAAGATAACAACTACAGTCCATTTTCTTTCTTTTTTTTTTTTCTTTTTTCCTTCTGTGTTCATATCATGTCCACTGCTAAATAAGGGTGGGAAGCGTTACATCATTATGACAGCATATGTGAAAGGGATGAATTCTCTTTGGAAGAAGATAAATATCATCTTAAAGTCCGCATTTTTTCACACTTACTATCTATACTTAACCAAAAGTCATTATGCATTCAAAGATACAACTAAGCGTCCACTAACAGAAGACTGGGGGAAGGTGAAGGTAATAAAAACAGGCCCTTGCTAGGGAACATTTCTCACCCAATTTTATGAGGATAGCATTGTCTTGGTATCAAAAATCTGACAAGAAATTTTGAGGGAAAAAATCATTGACCAAGGCTTTTATGAATATAAATATAGAAGTCCTAAATTACAAATATGTAGCAAATCAAATCCTGCCATGTGTGTATACTTATAATATGTATACTTATTGAGAAAATTGAGCCCGATATATACAACCATACCAATAGACGCAGATAATCAATTTGATAAGGTTGTACACAATTTTATGACAAAATTCACATAAATATAACAGAAGACTGCAAAATTCCCTAATCTGATAAAGAATATCTACCAAAACCTACTTAAGATATCATTCTCAATAGTGAGATATTAGACCTCCACACTTTCTGCTGATCAGAAAGAAAACAGAGATGCCCACTATTACTAGTTCTGTTCAAAACTATCCCGGAAATCCTACCCAGTGCAATAATGAAATAAGAAATTAAGGTCCCTAATCTGATAAAGAATATCTACCAAAACCTACTTAAGATATCATTCTCAATAGTGAGATATTAGACCTCCACACTTTCTGCTGATCAGAAAGAAAACAGAGATGCCCACTATTACTAGTTCTGTTCAAAACTATCCCGGAAATCCTACCCAGTGCAATAATGAAATAAGAAATTAAGGTCCATAAATTGGAAAAATAAGAAACAGAACAAATTATACCTTAGACAGCAGGATAATATATATAGAAATTCCAAATGAATCTACAGAGAAATCATTGCCAACGATTAGAAAATTCACCAAAGTTGCTGGGAATAAAGTCATCAGGATGATAAAATCAATTATATTTCTGTATACCAGATAGAAAGAAATGAAACGAGCATTCATAGTACACGTGCATCGAAATAGCACAATGAACCTCAGAAATGTGTCAATTAAAATAATAATAAAACAATAAGAAGTTATAACAACAACAAAAGTAGTAATTACCTAGGAAAAATCTAACAAAGATTTGCAAGCNTGGAATAGAGAAGCTTATAGCATAACAACTAGAACATCTGGATAAACACAGAAACCATGTGATGGAAGGTAGTGTAAAGTTGCTAATACAAAAATTTGTCTCAAGATTCCAGAGATGGCAGAGCCTCAAATAGGTAAGATAACAACTACAGTCTATTTTCTTTCTTTTTTTTTTCTTTTTTCCTACTGTGTTCATATTATGTCCACTGCTAAATAAGGGCAGGAAGCATTACATCATTATGACAGCATATGTGAAAGGGATGAATTCTCTTTGGAAGAAGATAAATACCACCTCTGCATTTTTTCACACTTACTATCTATACTTAACCAAAAGTCATTATGCATTCAAAGATACAACTAAGTGTCCACTAACAGAAGACTGGGGGAAGGTGAAGGTAATAAAAACAGGCCCTCGCTAGGGAACATTTCTCACCCAATTTTATGAGGATAGCATTGTCCTGGTATCAAAAATCTGACAAGAAATTTTGAGGGAAAAAATCATTGACCAAGTCTTTTATGAATATAAATATAGAAGTTCTGAATAACAAATACGTAGCAAATCAAATCCTGCCATGTGTGCATACTTATAATATGTATACTTATTGAGAAAATTGAGCCTGATATATACAACCATACCAATAGAGGCAGATAATCAATTTGATAAGGTTGTACACAATTTTATGACAAAAATTCACATAAATATAACAGAAGATGGCAAAATTCCCTAATCTGATAAAGAATATCTACCAAAACCTACTTAAGATATCATTCTCAATATTGAGATATTAGACCTCCACCCTTTCTGCAGATCAGAAGGAAAACAGAGATGCCCACTATTACTAGTTCTGTTCAAAGCTATCCTGGAAATCCTACCCAGTGCAATAATGAAATAAGAAATTAAGGTTCATAAATTGGAAAAATAAGAAACAGAACAAATTATACCTCAGACAGCAGGATAATATACATAGAAATTCCAAATGAATCTACAGAGAAATCATTGCCAATGATTAGAAAATTTAGCAAAGTTGCTGGAAATAAAGTCATCAGGATGATAAAATCAATTATATTTCCATATACCAGATAGAAAGAAATGAAAAGGGCATTCATTGCACACATGCATCGAAATAGCACAATGAACCTCAGAAATATGTCAATTAAAATAATAATAAAACAATAAAAAGTTATAACAACAACAAAAGTAGTAATTACCTAGGAAAAATCTAACAAAGATTTGCAAGCCTCTGTACTGAAAACACAAAATTACTGGGAAAATAAATGAAATGCAAATAAATTGGGAGCATAACCACAATCAGGAATTGGAAGATTCAATGTGTCAAGATGCCAATTCTTTCCAAATTGATTTGTAGATTTAATGTCACCCTGATAAAACCCCAGCAGGAAATTTTATAAAATTGACTGTCACCTTTAATATTTATTTGGAAATGTAAATACATAAGAGTGGCCAAAACATCATTAAACAGGAAGAACAAATATGAAAGACACATACTACCAGATACCCAGACCTGTTATGAAGCTTTAGAACTCCAAACTCTAAACAGCACAAAGTCCATTAAGCTACCACACATATGAGTTTTGCCCTTCACTTATCTCATGTTGGTAGAGAATTGGAATGATACTGTGAATCTGGGAACTTCAAGAGCATTGAGTTGTGGTGTAGGAGAAACAAGCTTACCTTAGGGATGAGGTAGTTTCTGAATTTAATGTCACGGGTCACGGCATGTGGTGCACTGTTGGGGACGAGGTCAATGTATCTCTGGACCTCATGCACCACAGCATCTGTGTAGGGCATGAAGCTTCTGTCCTGCATGCAGGGGCTCCGGTGTCTGCCAACCACACGGTCAATCTCTTCTTGGACTTTAGCTGATAGGACACAAGTAAGAACTAATGGAAAACGAGAAAAATGGCACATTTGCCATAGCAAGTCACAGCTACATGAAGCATGATAAAGGTGTCCCAACAGCAATATAAACATGAGTTATATGCCCAGAAGTACACCTAGACATGTAAAGAGATTTGCCATCATATAGATACATATCACTATCCTACCAATTAGGTATTATGATACATTGGTTCATACCTATAAATTACCATAAATGATAACTAATATAAAAAGAATGAAATGTTCCCCCAAATAAGGGGGAAATAATTAATTAAAAAATCATGGTCTTGCAGAAAGTAAAACAAGAGTCAAATATTAATATTAAATTAATGTCAAAATGATACATGGGTTTTAAAATTAAATTGTAATGGTGTATAAAGTTATGTGTTTTTGTGTGTTTGCATCTGTCTGCATGTGTGTGTTTGTGTGCAAAATTTGCAATGGCACTCTCTTCATCTCCCTACTTCTCAAATGTGGACACTTTGAACATTCTTCTGAAATTCATATTCATATTTCTAAATAATAACTCTGTATTTCAAGATTAACCATTTTAAACAAGATTTAACTGTTTCCTGCTATGTTGGTTGAGAATTCAACTTCATCTCCACCCATATATTCACAGCCACACCCACAGATATTCACACATACACAGACATACACACAGAGACACACACACTCATGTACTTCCCCTCACCCCATTTTCCAGAATATATGTAGACTACAAGTTTTGGTCGGTGCTTACATCATTCTGACTACAAAAAAATTCTTCCCTCATAAGACAAGTGTGGTTACATTTTATACATGGTATTTTTTTGAACTTAATCTCTCTTTTTATTTCAATTCATAATTTTCTATTTCCCAAGTTAGAATCATTCCTAAGTGCTCAGGTAGATGTTTGAAACTCCTGGTAACAATTTCCCAATTATTGGGAAACCTCATAAAATCCATAACTTCTCCTTTGTTCTTGGTGTCTGTCCTCACACCTGCATTGCTGACCTGGTCCTTTCTGAGGTGGTTGTTTTCCAGTCCTGGCGACCAGCAGCCTCCCTGACATTTACATCCTACTGTATAAGGCCTTCTGATTCCTGGAGCCCATGACTTCCTCTGACTTGGTTTCAGACATTTGGATGGAGCACATCTTCCAGTATTTTTTAGAAAAAGTAAAAATAGGAGGTAAAGTTTTGGGTAAATGTGTAAGTCTGAAAATACATTTATTCATAATATTCAAGACAATGCTTACTCTTGAGAATACTGGTGCTGTCTGAATCCTAATATTTTATGCATGACATGATATATCTCTCCAAAAAATTTTAGGATTTTCTCTTTAATTCTGGTGTTCTGATATTATATACTCCTGTGTCTTGGGAGCAAAATTTTATTTCACTCACTGTGCTGAGAAGTTGGCAAGACTTCTCTATTTAGATGGCAAAATACCACAATCTCTTCTCTAGAGCTATTCACTCTTGGAAGGATATGTCTGGCTGCTGAATTTCCAGAGGGAAGATGGAGGGAAAATTTAAGTCTCTGAATTCAAGCACAGGACTCTTACCAAACCTTCCTTTCCAGCCTCACACCTCACTGTTTCTCTCTCGCTGCCCAGTGTCCCTGAGTATGGGGCTTCTTAGGCTCAGTTTCTCTAGAGAATGAGCCTCCCTTTTCCTGTAGGAAAATATCAGTTACATGATAAAAGGAGTCATAGATGGAACTTGGAAAGGAGGAGCCTCATTCCCTACCTTCTCTAAAACTTGCTGCTTCCAAATATGGAAATAGTATGGAAATGGAGGGAGACAGATTAGCTTTCCTTCCTTGATCCATCTTCCTCTTCTGACAATTAGGTAACAGCTTCATCCTGTCTGATGAGGTAATTGTCACCCTTTGATCTGTTCTCTGTGAAGACAGCAGCTTCTAGCACAAGCATTCTAATTATGAAGCTTCTCTAAATGAAGGATGAAGGAATCTAACAGTGTTTTCCCAACATCTTTGCTGAAGTTCACTGTGCTCATCACCTGTCAACGTACCTCTGACCTCTGGGTGCTTCAGGAGGAGTAGGAGTCCATATCTCAGAGTGGTGCTTGTGGTCTCTGTGCCAGCAATAAATAAATCACTTACAGTGCTTATCAAGTTTTCAATAGTAAACTCAGACTGCTGAATGTGCTTTTCCTAGAAATGATTTGATACATTATCTGACAAATTATTTATTAATGTATTTAATTACAATGAATTCAAAATAACACACTTTATTATAAAGTTAGCAAACAAAGAAACTGGAGAGTGCAGTATCAGGAAAAAATACTCTACAGTATGTTAGAGACTGTAGATCAATTGATCCAAACTTTATTTCCTACCCCTTATCCTTTGCCTGCCAAAAGATTCCATTTATGTGACTCTTCCCAGCCAGGTGTGCCATGCAGCATATTTCTTTCCAAAAAAACATAGGCAGAAGCCTATTGGTGCTCTGTCTTAGTCTGTTTGTGTCGCTATAACAGAGTATCACAGACTGGATAACTTATTTTAATAAAATAAATATATTTCTCATTGTTCTCAAGGCTGGGAAATCCAAGAGCTTGGCGCTAGCCTCTGGAGAATGCCTTTGTGCTGCGTCATCCATGGTGGAAGGTGGAAGGGCAAGAGAAGGTGAGAGCAAAAGAGGTCAACATGGGGCTGCACTCACTTTAACAACAAACCCACACCCTCAAAAATGACATTCACTCACTTATGAGGACAAAGCTCTCATGAACTAATCACCACTTACTTCTTAGGCTCCACTTCCAAATGCTGTTCCTTTGGGGATTAAGTTTTCAAACATGAACTATGGGGGACACATTTGAATTATAACATTTCATGCCTGGCCCCCTAAATGTATGCCATTCTCACAATGAAAAATATATTTATTCTATCCCAATAGTCCAAAATTCATAGTCCCAACTCCAGACTAGTCTATATCAGATGTGTATGAGACAAAAGGAACAATTCATCTTGAGGCAAATTCCTCTCCAGCTTTAAATCAACAGAGTTAGCAAGTTATGTGCTTCCAAAATATAACGGAGGGACAAACATGGGGTAAATATTTCCATTCTAAAAGGGAGAAACAGTCAACAAGAAAGGGTCAGCTACTTACAAGGAAGCCCAAAACTCAATAAGGAAAATAGCACTAGGAATCTGGAGAAACTTATGTTGAGCGAAACAAGCAAAGCACCAATGGATACATTCTGCAGGTCCTCGCTCATATGTAGGAGCTAAGAGGGGAAGGAAGGAAGGAAAGAAAGACCACAGTAGTGCTGTGGTCTAACATAGGGAGGGAACATTCCTAGGGATACAAATTGGAGTGGTGGGGAGGGGGAGGGGGGGAGATTGGGGGATAATTGGGTGGAGACAAGGGTTACAATAGTAATTTCTGGTAATGGGTATGTCCCCAGTATGAATCTGGCCCGCACATCATGGGCAGGAAGGTTGAAAATTAGCTTTATATCCAATGAATATTGTTAATGAATGAATGAAAGAAAGAAAGAGAGAGAAAGGAAGGAAGGAAGGAAGGAAGGAAGGAAGGAAGGAAGGAAGGAAGGAAGGAAGGACGGAAGGA